CGAATTGTCTCTATTTGCAGACGACATGTTGTATATTTAGAAGACTCTATTGTCTCAGCCCCAAATCTCCTGAAACCGACAAGCAACTTCAGCAAAGTCTCAGGGTACAAAATCAATGTGCAAAAATCACAAGCATTCCTATACACCAATAACAGACTTAAAGAGAGCCAAATCAAGAATGAACTGCCATTCAAAATTGCTACCAAGAGAATAAAATGTCTAGGAATACAACTAACAAAGAATGTAAAGGACCTCTTCAAGGAGAACTACAAACCATTGCTCAATGAAATAGGAGAGGACACAAACAGATGGAGAAACATTCCATGCTCATGGTTAGGAAGAATCAGTATCATGAAAATGGCCATACTACCCAAAGTAATTTACAGATTCAACGCTATCCCCATCAAGCTACCAATGACCTTCTGCACAGAACTGGAAAAAACCACCTTAAATTTCACAGGGAACCAAAAGAGAGCCCGCATAGCCAAGTCAATTCTAAGCAAAAAGAACAAACTGGGAGGCCTCACATTACCTCACTTCAAACTATACTAAAAGGCTACAGTAATCAATACAGCATGGTACTGGTACCAAAACAGAGATACAGACCAATGGAACAGAACAGAGGCCTCGGAGGCAACGCCACACGTCTACAACCATCTGATCTTTGACAAACCTGACAAAAGCAAGCAATGGGGAAAGGATTCCCTGTTTAATAAATGGTGTTGGGAAAACTGGCTAGCCATATGCAGAAAGCAGAAACTGGACCCCTTCCTGACACCTTACACTAAAATTAACTCCAGATGGATTAAAGACTTAAACATAAGACCTAACACCATAAATACCCTAGAAGAAAATCTAGGCAAAACCATTCAGGACATAGGCACAGGGAAGGACTTCACAAATAAAACACCAAAAGCATTGGCAATGAAAGCCAAAATAGGCAAATGGGACCTAATCAAACTCCACAGTTTCTGCACAGCGAAAGAAACGGTCATTAGAGTGAATTGGCAACCAACAGAATGGGAAAAAAATTTTGCAATCTACCCATATGACAAAGGGCTAATATTCAGAATCTACAAAGAACTAAAACAGGTTTATAAGAAAAAAACAAACAAGCCCATTGAAAAATGGGCGAAGGATATGAACAGACACTTCACAAAAGAAGACATATATGAGGCCAACAAACATGAAAAAATGCTCATCATCACTGGTCATTAGAGAAATGCAAATTAAAACTACATTGAGATACCATTTCACACCAGTTAGAATGGCAATCATTTAAAAAGTGTGGAGACAACAAATGCTGGAGAGGATGTGGAGTAATAGGAACACTTTTACACTGTTGGTAGAAGTGTAAATTAGTTCGACCATTGTGGAAGACAGTGTGGCGATTCCTCAAGGACCTAAAAATAGAAATTCCATTTGACCCAGCAATCCCATTACTGGGTATATATCCAAAGGGTTATAAATCATTCTAGTATAAGGACACATGCACATGAATGTTCATTCTGGCACTGTTTACAATAAATAGTAAAAACTTGGAACCAACCCAAATGCCCATCGATGATAGAATGGACAGGGAAAATGTGGAAGATATACATCATGGAACACTACACAGCCATAAAAAAACGATGAGTTCGTGTTCTTTGTAGGGACATGGATGAACCTGGAAACCATCATTCTCAGCAAACTGACACAAGAACAGAAAATCAAACACCGCATGTTCTCACTCACAGGCAGGTGTTGAACAATGAGAACATGTGGACACAGGGAGGGGAGCATCACACACACAGATATGTTGGGGGAAATAGGGGAGGGACAGCGGGGGATGGGGAGTTGGGGAGGGATAACGTGGGGAGAAATGCCAGATATAGGTGATGGGGAGGAAGGCAGCAAACCACACTGCCACGTGTGTACCTATGAAACAATCTTACATGTTCTTCACATGTACCCCTAAACCTAAAATGCAATTAAAAAAAAAAGAATTTTAAGTCATAGAGTGAGATTAGGATAATAAAGCTTCCCCAGCTAAGTCTGTTTACCCCACATTCCTTTGTCCCTACACTCATTTGTTTGTTCATGTAAACTTTGCGCTGTTGGATGACCCTCTCAGGGTGAGGTCAAAGGGGAATTATCTATTAATGGTGTTTACCCTGGGCACCCCTCCAACCGAAAGCTTTTATCACTCATAAAACCACTCTTTTAACCATGTTAATTATCATAAGCATGTTGGCTTAGAACCTCTGTTATTAAATCTATACTGAATTAATGTGAGGAGACACAGGGAGTCATGGCCAGTAAGCTGCAATCGCCCTCTGAAAGCAGTGGATGGTGGACCATCTTTAGCCCACTCAAATCACCGTACTGGGTGTGAGAGTGCATTCATTCATTCGTCGTTGAGTCAGGGTCTGCAGGACAGACCTCTGCAGGTGGTGATCAACATCCAGGGGCACTCATAGTTTTGAGGGAGTTTCCTGGGTCCTCCAGAAGCAGTCCACTTTCTTCAGGGGATTTGTTGCCTTTTTTTTTTTTTTTTTTTTTTTTGAGACAAAGTCTTGCTCTGTCACTCAGGCTGGAGTGTGCAGTGGCACAATCTCAACTCACTGCAACATCTGCCTCTGAGGTTCAAATGATTCTCCTGCCTCAGCCTCCCACTGACACTACAGCTGCATGCCACCACATGCAGCTTTATTTTTTTGTATTTTTAGTAGTCAGGTTTTCACCATGTTGGCCAGGCTGGTCTCAAACTCCTGATCTCAGGTGTTCCATCCACCTTACCCCCCTCACCCCCTACCACAAAGTACTGGGATTACAGGCATCAGCCACCACACCTGGCCTAAAGAGCTTTTTTAGGAGTTGAAAAAAAAAAAAATTCCTGGCTACTTTTCAATGGTCCAGATAAATTATCTAGACACAAAAGGCTAAGCAACACTGAGCCTCAATAAACTTTGATCTCCCTACTTTCCTATCTCTTGTGTTAACTTTAGTTCTTTGGTTTTATACTTCTTATGCATAAAGTTCTCCCTTCCAATAGGGTCAACTTTCTCTGTGTTCTATACCTTTATCATCTTCCCTGCTCTCTTCCTAATCAAATATAATGTTACCTTAGAAAGCAAATGTCCCTTCCTTTCTAACGAAACAGCGTTATGTATTAATGGCAGGTTCCTGTTCTCAGCTGTGGTAGTTCACTTTATTCTAAAGATCTTGAACTCCCAACTTTACTGCTGTGCAGGTGAATGGGGAAAGACAGCTGTAGTTGGGCAAGGCCTTCTGGCACTCCTTACACATAAGATAATCTAGGTTAATAACTATGCTACAGCTAGTGTTTGGATGTCACTGGTATTAATTAAGTGAGAAAGAAAAAAGAGAAATCAAGGAAGAAACCCAAGAAATCTTGATTGATTGTCCATGGGAGATTATTCTAGGAAGGAGCAAAAACCCCAAAGAACACAATGCCTAAACCTGAGAACAGTTATACAAGTTAAAGTTGGCTCAAAATCAGTGGAGACTGTTCAAGGACCAAGAGGTCTTTAATTCATTTGTCCATTTCAGAGACACTAGATACAAAAATTCTATAGGCTAAGGATACAATCTGCATAATCATATTCCTCTTAAATGACACTATTTCTTTAGAACAAGTTATTATTCTGAAGTAAATAAATAATCAAAAATATACTATCATTTCTAGGTTACGACTTTGAGCAATTCATTTCTAAGCTCCAGTTTCCTCAGCGGACAGTCCGATAATTTTATGATAAAAGACATGGATACAGTAAAAACTACCCCTGAAAGTCCTATACGTCTATGCTAAGTAAACACGGTCTCATGTATCCTGCACATATATTCATTAAACCCAACCCAGCCAGTGTGTGTTACAGCTTTGGAACTGATAAAAAATACCAGATAAAAAATAGATTCCTGGTCAGGCACAGTGGCTAACACCTGTAATCCCAGCACTTTGGGAGGCCGAGGAAGGAGAATTGCTTGAGCCTAAGAGTTCGAGACTGGCCTGAGCAACAAAATAAGATCCCATCTCTACAAAAAAATTAAAAAAACAATTAGCTGGCCATGGTGGTGTACGCCTGTGGTCTCAGCTACATGGGAGGCTAAGACAGGAGGGGCACTTGAGCCCTGGAGGTTGAAGCTGCAGGGAGCCATTCTTCACAGCTTTGTACTCCACCTTGGGTGACAGAATGAGACCCTGACTCGAAAAACAAAAAAACATGCCAGATTCCCAATCCCCCTATCTAAAACCCTTGGGGCAGGCATGTTTCAGAATTCAGAATTCTTCTAATTGAGAAAAGAAGCTTGGCACCTATACTGTATATATAGGTATATACTGTATATATACCCCCAGCAGAGTCTGGGGCAGCAGCCCACAAACAAACATTCTCTTGAAGTAAAATATGAATATTCACCACAAAAGAGATAAAGACTATACAGTCTCATGCCAATTCAGAACAAATTTTGCTACTGAACTTTTGATTCTCAGAACCTGTTAGGTTACAAAATTGTGGGCTAGTGGTCAGATTACATTTTGGGCCCAACTGCTCCAAAAAACGAAAAGCTTTGTTCAAAATATGCTGAGAACCCACAGTTGAATTTGCTTAAGCCAGTGTGACAAAAACAGCAATCGAAAACGATTTACCAATCATGTCCCACCTCCCCTCTTTGCTGGAAATTAAAAGTTAGCATCTACTATGTCAAAGACAAGGACAGAGCACTAGCAAAAACGCAAACAAATAAAAGAAGTTAATTCCTGGCTTTAGGGCTTTCAAGCGGTCATGTCAAAGATAACTTAATCTTTATTGTGATTTTTGCCCTGATGACTTTAAGAGCTCACAAAAGACATAATTCCATTGTACCTAATTCTCAACAAACCATAACTCTCACCACTACTACTGATGGCACACTGAATTTATTCTAAGATTTGAAAAGTGTTATTCATGTTATTATTTAAAATTATATGTGATTACATAACAAGTAAAAATGGAACTTACTGATAACTGAACATATCATAAATTTATCTTGAGCCTTTTGTTCAAATTTTTCTTTAGCTTCTTTGGACCACTGCATTGCCCTTTTATATGGTTCAATATAGGCCAGCTTACATTTAATTGCCTGTGTCAGACAAAATTCCACCATTAAGATAAAAATTCAATTTCTACCTACTTTTTGGAATTAAAGTTTTATGTAAGTGTGTACAAAACTAATCTTTATATTTGAATTTAATACATATTAGAAATACATGATGTGTGAAGGAGTCTGTAAAAGCACTTTATAAACACGAATCATTGAAATTAGCAGAGAATTTGGCTAAATGAACTGCTGTACATTCACATACTAGAATAACAAGCGTTCATTAAAGTTACTTATGATACATTAATTACTTGTACAGGATGGTTTATAGTCTGATTCTATAACTGTTGAAAACACAGAAGATTCATCTAGAAGTATACATAACAAAAATATTGAACAATGATTGAGTGATTCTCCCTTTTGCTCATTTCTTTTGGGTTTTGTTTTTTTGTTTTGTTTTGTTTTGTTTTTAGATGGAGTCTCGCCCTGTCACCCAGGCTGGAGTGCAATGGAAGGATCTCGACTCACTGCAACCTCCGATTCCCAGGTTCAAGTGATTCTCCTGCCTCAGCCTCCCGAATAGCTGGGATTACAGGCATGCACCACCATGTCCAGCTAATTTTTTGTATCTTTTTAGTAGAGGCAGGGTTTCTACTAAACCCCGTTGGCCAGTCTGGTCTCGAACTTTTGACCTTGTGACCCACCTGTCTTGGCCTCCCAAGGTGTTGGGATTATAGCCATAAGCCACCAAGCCTGCTTATTTGTATTTTAAAGTTTTTTTTTTTAAATAATACTACAGATTTCCTAAAATGAAAAACATGACTTAAAAACAACAGAGAGTATATAATTAGAAAATAAGGCCTGTTCTTACCCTTCTTTCAGAATACTACCACTCCCCAGAGATAAGCAAGGTTCAGAGTCTTTTATATATTGTCCCGGGCTTCTCTATTGCAAACACATATATACTTAAGCATAAATGTGATCACAGTGAAAAGTACCTCTGAGATAAGCATTTTTACCTTGATATATCATGAACATGACTCTTACCAAATATAGGATCTCAAAATGATATATTAAAAGCTGTCAACAAGTACTTAAGACACAAATGTACATGGTTAATGTTTTAATATGGTTATTTACCATGATATACATATTACTTCTTCAGTAGTAACCATAGCAATATTTATCTACAGTCCTTGTATCAGAAACTAGACAAAAATGGTAGTTAACATTTCTATGGTGAAAATAGCTTCTAAAAATACTTCTGTATTCCTGTATGCTAATATTCCAGCTCTAGAATTCATAATAAGTAGATTACCTTTTCTGGGGGATTCAGAAACTCATCTTTTATTTTACGGATGTCTTTAATTGTTATTTTTGCAGTATTACCGAAGTCCACATATTTAACTTCAACTTCCCGATGTCCAGGCAATCCTTGAAAAATTATGAAATCAGAAATTACAAACCTGGAAAGCAAATAGAATTATCTAGAAAAATTTAGATTGGTTTATAGTCAACTAGATTAGAATACTTTTAGGTTCAATATACAAATTTAACTACTAATTTTTTTAAATGTAAAATATATTTCAAATATGTGAACCTCGAAATCATCCATAATGCAAACTTGTAAGAATTAAAAACTAGCATTTTTAAGATATTTGAAGGATATGAATATATGATTTTGGCTATTCAAAGGATAGCCAAAATCAGGATAACAAAATCATATGGCAGGTGGTATAAAAGTTAATAAATAGGCTTCGAGTCAGACTAACTAGTTTAGAACTCTAGCTCCATCACACTAAAATTCTAGGTGACCTCAAGGAAGCTAATTAATATCTCTAAGATATTACCCTGAGCAAGTTGCTTTTTCTAAACCTCATTACTTCATCTGTAAAAGGGGTATACCAATATAATCTAATTTCACAAGACGTTTTTGGAGGGTTCGCCTATTTAAAAAGCACAAGGTACAAAGTGAGCACTTAATACAGGTTTATTGTTAGTCAATATAGTTTATCAAACAAGGCAAAAGATTCAACAATCAAACTAAAGATTCATTCATATAACAATATCTGTGAATTTTTGAAAAAACATACTTGGGCATATTGCAAAAAAACAAGTAGAGACAGACCTCTATGTCAGTCTAGTCTCTGTACTTTAAAGAAATCTCTGGAAGTTTCAAACACACAGAAGTTTTAAAGAAAGACCTACCTCATGCTAACATGAGTATTCGAAAATACTCAAAATACATGGTTTTCAAAGTTAAAGACTAATACCATTTATATCATTTTAATATGGAAAAATGTCCAGTATTCTGTGCTCCTTGGCAGAAGTAGAAGCAAGTGGCACAGCACTAGCACTCACTCAAGATGAGACTTCAAACAACATAGGCCCTACAGTAGGAGATATCCATGATAATTGAGAAGATATGTATTATTATAAGGCCAAAAGATGGGGGAACATCTCCGCACTTCCACTGGAATCCCCCTACTAGAAGGATGTTCTCAACTCTACCAACGCCATTAGATTCTTACTCTTCGTAAAGTCTCTGAATAGAAATCTAGTTTTAAACAAATAGATGGCTATGGAATGGAATGTAAAGAATGTTACTATTTTATCCACATTATCACAAGAACAGAGTCAGACATGGAAGGTCTCAAATTTCCCCATTTATGTTCTCTGAGGAAACTACTGGAAGATGGCTCCACACAGAAAATGGAATTAAACTGAAGAGGTAAACATGGCATCCAGAAAACAAGGGATCCAATACTGGAGAACAATGACGTGTATGGCCAACCAAAATAAATTTCCAGAATAAAAAATGTGTAGTAAGCCTAGAGGGCAAGCAGACCAATTGGAGAAGATAAAGGATGTTTTTGGCCACATGTGATGGCTCACACCTGTAATTTCAGTGCTTTGGGAGGCCAAGGCAGGAGGATCGTTTGAGCCCATGAGTTTGACCCCATCTCTACAGAAAATAAATTAGCCAGGCATGGTGGCAAGTGCCTGTAGTCCCAGCTACTCTGGGGGCTGAGGTGGGAGGATTGCTTGAGCCCAGGAAGTGGAGGTTCCAGTGAGCCATGATCATGTTCCACTGCACTCTAGCCTATGTGACAGAGCAAGACCATCTTAAAAAGGATGTTTTCATGGTTTAAAAAAAAAAAAAGATCAAACTAACATTTATCTTGAGAAGTCTAGTCATGTGGAAAATTGTTTCAAACTATTAAAAATACGCTCACAAATGGAAAGAAAATAAAGCAAGTGAAAAGTGAACATAATTATGAACTCACAATAGAATTAAACAAAGTATACTTTATGTCTTTACTTACACAGAATGTGAATCTAATGAAAATCTGTGATACAACTATAGAAAAGAGAGAAATGAGGACAAAAGGGCCATGGAGATCCAAAACTTGTCTAACAGAATAACAGGTAATATCTAAAACTAAAGTGTCAACTTAAGTATTACATATTATTAGAAGAAATAACCCAATAAATAACAAAACAGCTTAAAAAATGAGAAATAATTGCCTTCAAACAGGGAAGTGGAGTGTGTTTTTCAGCATATTTAACTTTTAAATCAGGCAGATAAAAACAAGCTACTATTCACCAAACCAAGTATCATCTTCAAGGTGGAGTTCAACAGAGCCACAGAAGGCACAGGAAAATGGGCCAAACAAATCACTCATACATTTCTATTAGCACCCCAAAAGTGATGCTAACAGAAATGAAGAAGTAGTAGAATTAGCACCATGGACACTCCATCTTCCCCAAGATGGGCCTTACTGTTCACCAAACAAGATATGATTTTCAAGCCAATCATCCTAATTTGAAAAGCAGTTGCAAAGTCCTTAGTGCCGTGAAAAATGCCTTTGTTTGCTCCAAAGATATTTACCAAACTATACAGCGTTATCTTCATTGCAATAGTTCGAATGTTTTTGTCTCTAACATTCATGTTGAAACTTAACCTCTATTGCAGCAGTACTTGGGAGGTGAATAAGTCATGAGGGCTCTGCCCTCATAAATGGGATTAGGTGCCCTTATAAAAGGGCTTGGGGATGGGAGTTTGCCTTTCTTTTTTGCACTTACGGAATCAGAGGACACAGCACCAAGGCATTATTTTGGAAACAGAGACTAAGCCCTCAATATAACAGTGCCTCGATCTTGGGACTTTTTAGACTCCAGAACTGAGAAGTTAATTTCTATTGTTTATAAACTACCCAGTCTGTCGTATTTTATTACAGCAGCACAAACAGACTAAGACATTGATAAGAACCACATTTGAAAATTTTTAGTTAGTTCAAGTCATGAACTACTAACAAAATTAAACTCAATGGTGACAAATGAAGGATAGAAAGCTCAGGATGAAAGAATAGTTTCAACACAAACAGAACTGGTTATATATTAGGAGTAACTTGTAAAGATCTTACATTATCTTAATAATGGAAAAAACATTTTAAACAGTGTCAAACTAAATTTTTAAAAATTTTGCTGGGCACAGTGGCTCACACCTGTAATCCTAGCACTTTCAGAGGCCGAGGCAGGCGGATTATTTGAGATCAGGAGTTCAAGACCAGCCTGACCAACACAGCGAAACCCCGTCTGTACTAAAAATACAAAAAAAATTAGCCGAGTGTAGTGGCACATGCCTGTAATCCCAGCTACTCAGGAGGCTGAGGCAGGAAAATCACTTGAACCCAGGAAGCCGAGGTTGCAGTGAGCCAACATCAAGATCGCGGCATTG